CGCCGAGAATCGCGAAACCTGCCAGTAGGGCGGCGCCCCCCGCATGTGCACGCTAAATGACAAGTTTTGTTACCAACTGGAAACAAATCAATATAGTGACGCGAACTTGTTACTTGCTGGTTCCAATGTACTGTAGTCATCAGATTTGGTGATTTGTTTCAAAGTTGTTTCCTGACGGTAACCGAAATCGTACAAAGACATTTGTGCTGCGCGTACCGTGCGCAGTGCCCTTCGGCCCCTGCAGCAGCGCGCTGCACTGTAAGCTCCAGCCGCTCCAGCCGCTCCAGCGGGGACAAAGGCAGCGCGCCCCGCCCCTATCAGCATGAGGCCCGCTGACAGCACGCTCTCGCTCCAGCAGCAGACTGAGTGGTTTTCTTCGCTCTGCCTCGCTCGCACCCACACGAGACGCCTCATGAGTGCGAGAGAGGCAGAGCGCCGGTGACGACTGTCGGTACGTACACTGTAAAAAAAAATTCTGAAATTTCAGACAAAATTTGACTGAAGTTAATTAACAGTAAGGGGTTCTGAAATTTCAGACCATTTCGGCGGTCTGAAAATTTAGAATAGGGTGGTCTCAAAGTTTAGAATTGGGTGGTCTGAAAATGAAGATTTAGGTGGTCTGAATTATTAGACACGGCCAGAATGCTGGTTGAAGGAGCCGGCGGAAGCGTTGCGTGGCGGGGCGTGGCGGGGCGTGGCGGGGCGTGTCTTGGCGGCGTGGCGGCCCAGGGTGCTTATGATTAGGGCGACCCAGGGTCGCGGTAAGCTCCCGGAGAATGTAGAGCACCGCGACGTAGGTACACTCTCATTCCAGGAACGTGACAACACGTTGAAACGAACGTGACAAAGTGTCACGTTCGTTTGAGCATTGTGTCACGTTCGTTTGAATGTGAACAAGCTGACTTTTGGCCAATTCACACCCAAACGAATGTGACACAATGCTCAAACGAACGTGACATATTGTCACGTTCGTTTCAACGTGATGTCACGTTCCTGGAATGAGAGTGTAGGCAGATTCCGAATGGGACACACACTCTCTCTCTCTCTCTCTCTCTCTCTCCCTCTCCCTCTCCCACTTATGGGGCGCTCCCTACCGGTGCGAGAGAGAGAGAGAGAGAGAGAGAGAGAGAGACCGACGGCCACACTGTGCGGAACCAGTCCACTGCTTGGCGTGCCGCCGGAACCGAGAGGGCCCAGAGGGTCGAGAGGGGCATTGTTGCCTCGAGAGGACGGACTGGACGGAGGCGGCTAGGTGTCCGAGGCGGCGCGTGGTGAGGAGATGACGACGCTGCTTGCCGTTAAATGCTTTCTAAACGGCCCCCAAAACAACAAGAATAACAATGAGAAAGGAATGGAAAAGAGGATGATCTCGCGGTGCGCGCCGCGAGCCACGCGAGGCGAGACGAGAGACGCGTGTGTTGCCTCTCGGTGCGGATGCTGGCGCCTCGTTGGAAGCTTTCTGAAGCATGCCAGCGCATATGCCAGCGCATATGCCAGCGCATGCGAGAATCCCGAGAGAACCCCTCTAATAAAACGGGCGTTTTTCCTCGTGTGGTTTTGTTTTTGTTACTGTTGATTTTTCGGTGGGCCGGGGATGCGCATCATGTTCGTCAGGCGTGCGCGCCGCGCCCGCCCGGCGTAGCGTACGGAATGAAATTGCTCCACCAGCATGACTTGATTGTTTTCACATTTTAGCGAGTGCTATACTTGGAATGAATCATACACGGATTCACAGAACGAAATCATTTTTATAAATTGACGGTATTTGCAGCAGCGTCGCTCTGCCCGCAACGAACACGACATGAAACATGACGGTGTGGAGCGAAGGCAGCTCACCGCCAAAAAGCCCAGCCGCGTTGCAACGAATGAATGGTCCAGCTCGAAATATAGACCGCTTCTGATTCGCTAAAAGAAATGCGTCAAGAGCAGGCTGTGTTCTTCCTCGAGGCCTCTCGGTTGAGTTTTGCTGAGACCCTAAGTGGGACGCCCTGCGGCCGCGGCCCGTCCGGCCTGAAGACTGGTTCCGCCCTTACCAAAATGAAAGTACGAAAGTAGTATGGAACCAGGAGGATAATACCACGGTGCTAATTCAGTAGGCCCCAGTGCGTCCTTCGAACTTTCCTTCCGACAGTAGGTGTGCCAAAAGTATGACCGCGAGAGCCGTGTTTGTCGTCGCTGCTCTGCCTCACTCGCACCCCTACGGAACGCCCCGTGAGTGCGAGAGAGACGGAGTGAGTATGCTGTCCGAAAGTCCGGCGAGGCGGCAGGGCGGCAGCGCGGTGCCGCGCCGTGGATTTCGATGCCGTTTTCCATGCCGGCCGTGAGCCGCGGTGCGACAAGCGCCTCTTTGAGGCTGTAGGCTGATTCCGAGAGTCGTTTTCGTCGCTCCGTCTCTCTCGCTCATCTACGGGACGCCCCATGTGTGCGAGAGAGACAGAGCGACGAAAACGACTCTCGGCATCAGACTGCTGCCGGCATACATAATGCATGGCGGCGGGGAAGTGTCCCATCTCGCTCGGCGCGGCTCGGCCTCAGCCGCAGTAGTGGTCCCCAGTGGTCCAGTAGGCGCGGAGGCCGGCCGATGCCCGGGCAGAATGCGCGACCTGTGCAGCAAGGTCCGGGGGAATGGATTCAATGGACTCCTCCCCTGCTTTGGGACGGAGGCTATTATAGGCGCATAGCACCACACCCTAAAAACTTTGCTCTCATGTCCCTAGAAAATTGGAGGAATGTTCTTAATTTTTTTGCTATGAGCATTGAGTTGCTACAGTATATCCCGTTTCCTGGAAACAATAAATCCGTAAACTGTGTTTCATTGATTCGACACTTTCTTCAAATAGACATTCAAAGGAAAGTTTTCCGCTAAATCGACAGTTGATACTCTTTGAAAGCTGACGCCTTCAAACACTCCAAACGTGAGGAACTCTTCCTTTTTCTTTAAGAAAAAATATCCTTGCGTCTGTTTCGTTGAATTATTGAAACGTTTCTTTTGGTGGACGAAGAACGACGCAGTGTCACCTGTTTGCAGCGACATCGACGGGCGAACTTCTGATTTGATTTGTACCAAGCGACGAGCGCGCTTCGGCAGTGTCACGCCGTCACGCCGCGTCACGAGCGCGTCACACTGACCACCAGATGCCGCCTGAGGCTGGAACAAAATACAACGAAATTCATGACGGCGGGGACCACAATGCGCTCCTAATGCCGCGCATGTTGAATTAATTTTTCATTTTCCCTCGCCTTCCCTTCTCCGAAGCGCGCGCCGCTCTCTCTCTCTCTCTCTCTCTCTCTCTCTCTCTCTCTCTCTCTCTCTCTCTCTCTCTCTCTCTCTCTCTCTCTCTCTCTCTCTCTCTCTCTCTCACCCGGTGTGCCTCTCCCTCGGTGGCGGGCAATAAAACAAGAAGCACGCTGGCTACGCTGGCTGTCATCAGCAATGCTGTCTTGGCTGAGCGCGCTGAGCGGCTTGTCGCGCTGCTTCGCTGTGGCGTGGCTCGGCACTTTGGGACGGTCGCAAGTGCCCACAGTGGGCCAGAAGACCGGCGCCGGTGGCCACAACTCCAGACGCGTTTTGAGCTCCAGAGTCGCTAAATGGGACTCGAACCGAGCGCCTGACCCCACCAATGGATTCCTCGTTCGGAGAGCACTCCATTGGTGGGGTCAGGCGCTCGGTTCGAGTCCCATTTAGCGACTCTGAAGCTCCAAACGCGTCTAGAGTTTTGGCCGCCTCCCCACTGTGCGTGTCGACATCGGTCCCTTTTGTGGCGTTACCCCAGAATCCCCGCTGGCCGCTACACCACGTGGTGGTCGCGATTAGTACGGGTTTAGATGCTGAAGAAAAGTACCTCCGAGCAGCAACCTCTGGAGACGCCAGTCTCACGCAACACAACACAACCCGTTTGTGGCAGTGTACATGACACCTGCAGCGCGAATGCGCGTGCTGTGCGAGAGAGAGAGAGAGAGAGAGAGAGAGAGAGAGAGAGAGAGAGAGAGAGAGAGAGAGAGAGAGACAGACAGACAGACAGACAGACAGAGACAGAGGTTGTGAGAGTGTATGCGAGTGTGTGAGCGAGGGCCGGGAGGTCTTCACGCTCCTCGAGGTCCCCGCCTGGCACGGCCTGTCACGGAGAGGCGCCGGATGGGCAACACAGTTAGGCCCCGGCACGGACTACAATTAATCGCTTTTTAATAGGCGACAGGCTGGAGGAATGATGCCGGGATCGAGGCGGGAAAGAATGGAACAGAAATATCAAAAGAGAGAGAGGGGGGAGGAGGGGCATCGAGAGGCCACCGCCATCAGCGCCTCACGACCACTTGGCTGCACTTGGTACTTCGAGCAGTTACACTTCGAATTATTGTCGATACTACAGGGTCAAAGTACTGCACCCATTTTCAGAAAAAAAAAATAAGTCCGTGGGCGTTGAGTTATAATTTTATTGGCCTCTATCATATACGTAGAACACTCCACCATTGCCTTTAAAAAAGAAACGGTGATCCACTTTGGCGATAGCTCGTTGATTTTTCATTTTTCTTCTTCTGACCGCGCGCGCGTCGCGCGTTTGATGAGTCACATTGCGATTTGCATCGGGACGGCCCGGACGGCCCGGATGGCGGCGCGTCTGGACTCTGGCCGGCTTGGTGTGCTTGGTGGCGGTGCCGCCGTAATAACTGGGCTTATCGGACATTAACGCCGGGATTTATGGGCTCCGAATAATTTATAGAACAAAGAGGGGCGCTCACATTACATTACGCCTCACGGCCCCGCGGCCCCTTAGCCTTACGGTGTGTCGGTCGGTATCGTCTCGCTGTGGGGCTGTGTGGGGCCCTCTGCAGCTCCCTGGCCCTTTTTCTTCCTCCTCTCCTTCTTCTTTCTTCTTCTTCTTCTTCTTCTTCTTCTTCTTCTTCTTCTTCTTCTTCTTCTTCTTTTGTGTTGTTGTTGTTGTCGTTGTTGTCGTTGTTGTTGTTGTTGTTGTTGTTACATCGAGGATCCGACCTTGTTGCAGGACAACGACGCGCTGCTGGAGGAGGACGACGACGACGACCTGGACGACGATGACGCGTTCCTGGACGACCTGCCCAAGAAGGACCCGGTGCACGGTCGCGTGGCGCTGGCGCACAAGTACGCGCAGGTGCGGCACGCGCAGCACGCGCAGCACGCGAAGCAGGCGCACCACACCAGCCTGCCGGCGGCGGACGACGCCGACCTGGACGACGACGACGAGGTCAGCAACATCCTGGAGGCGACGCCCGAGTCGCTGAGCGGCGCGTCGGCCTCGGCGTCTGGCACCATGAGCTCGGCGTCGTCGCCGCCGGCCTCCACGTCGTCGTCCTCGGCGGGCGCGGTGGCGGCGGGCTACGCCGTCAGCGACCTGTCGGTCGGCGGGCGCTGCAAGTGCAACGGGCACGCGTCGCGCTGCTCGGCCAGCGGCGGCCAGCTGAGCTGCGACTGCAGGCACAACACGGCGGGCAGGGAGTGCGAGCGCTGCAAGCCCTTCCACTTCGACCGGCCCTGGGCGCGCGCCACCGCCAAGGACGCCAACGAGTGCAAAGGTAAGGACACAGAACGACACGGCGCGTGGAGAGCTTGGAGACGCCGGAGACCTGCACGCGCGAGGCCACGAGGGCGCGCCTGGCTGCCTTGCCTGGCGACGGCTGTGTGCGCCAGTCCGACGACGAGGTTTCTCACTGCCAGACACCTCGGACCTAGAGCCCTACATCGCCCCTTACACTGCCAGACACCTCGGACCTAGAGCCCTACATCGCCCCTTACACTGCCAGACACCTCCCGGAACCTTAAGAGCCCTACCAATCACCCCTTACACTGCCAGACACCTCGGACCTAGAGCCCTACATCGCCCCTTACACTGCCAGACACCTCGGACCTAGAGCCCTACATCGCCCCTTACACTGCCAGACACCTCGGACCTAGAGCCCTACATCACCCCTTACACTGCCAGACACCTCGGACCTAGAGCCCTACATCACCCCTTACACTGCCAGACACCTCGGACCTAGAGCCCTACATCACCCCTTACACTGCCAGACACCTCGGACCTAGAGCCCTACATCACCCCTTACACTGCCAGACACCTCGGACCTAGAGCCCTACATCACCCCTTACACTGCCAGACACCTCGGACCTAGAGCCCTACATCGCCCCTTACACTGCCAGACACCTCGGACCTAGAGCCCTACATCACCCCTTACACTGCCAGACACCTCGGACCTAGAGCCCTATCACCCCTTACACTGCCAGACACCTCGGACCTAGAGCCCTACATCACCCCTTACACTGCCAGACACCTCGGACCTAGAGCCCTACATCACATCGCCCCTTACACTGCCAGACACCTCGGACCTAGAGCCCTACATCACCCCTTACACTGCCAGACACCTCGGACCTAGAGCCCTACATCGCCCCTTACACTGCCTCTCTCTGGAGTCCCGCACCGGTGATCCACTCAGGTCCATGTCCTCCATGGGGCCTGAGTCCAGAGGCGTCAAGAACGTGCTGAGCCATGACAGTACGTAGTGGTGGAGATTTCGGTTTGTTGTTATGAGGCCCCGGGAACACAACCATCTGAGCCCTGGCTGCGGTCCCAGCCCAGCTGCCCGCGCTGGACTCTGGCCTGCCTGCCCGTACGGTACGCTGCAGACTGATTCCGAGTGTTGCTTTCGTCGCTATCTCTCTCGCGCTCATGGGTCGTCCCGTGTGCTAGGTGAGAGAGAGAGAGAGACAGATCGACGTAAACGGCTCTCGGAATCAGTCTGCTGGCTGGAGTGGCAGACGCAGCCCGCAGGTCCTTACCGGGCAGGGCAGTTGTACCGACCGCGCGTTCTCTCGTCCGACTACACTGACAAATAAGTTGCGGCCGGCGACCCGCCGCGACGTTGACGTCGTAGACGTCGCGGACTTGTGGACGTCGCGGGGACGTCGTGGACATCATGGAAACGTCGTGGACGTCGTGGTGGCCGGCGAAAGCTTGCTTACCTGGCCGCTTGGAAGCAGGGCGTCGTCACGCCGTCGTCCGCGTCAACAAGAAGAAGGAAGGAGATTTTGGCGGCCACACTAAGGGCTTCGACAAACGCCGGACGTGCGTTTCTCTGGGCACCGCGGCGTCGGCGGGGCGGGGCGGGGCGGGGCGGGGCTGGGCGGGGCGGGGCAGCCGCGTTCTCGGGACGTGATGCTCCAGCCTGCAGGAGAATTATCACCTGGGCTCACCTTTGTTTCCTGTCTGAGCAGGCGAGGCCTGGCGAGGCCTGGCGATGCCCCCCGGGGGGCGGGGCGGGGCGTGGTCCGCGCACACACGGGGGCTCCGTGGCGTCACCTTGTTAGTCGTCACTTACGCCCTCCGACTGGCCGGGTCCACTTCCGGTGGCGGAGCAAGCGAAGCAAGCAGCGCCGTCCGGCCGGTGGGGCCGCAGTGCAGTGGAGTGCAGTGGCGTGCCGAGGGGAGGTGCGCAGACAATGCACCTGTCATAATGACAGTGTCGTTGCACAGCGCACAGCACGGCGGGCGCGGCGCGGACGCGATGGCCGTGTGGGGCCCACACTGTGGGCAGGCCGGGCAGGCTGGGCACGCGGAGGCGAAGGGGCTCCGCGTTGCTACGCGTTGCGTGGTCGAGCAGGTCGCATCCAGGCCGTCGACCACCAAAACACCAAAGTTCTCTCAAGTTATATTGAATCCTGCAAGAAGGTTTTCAGGAATCACGGTGGCAGCTGCAGTTCTTTTCCTAAAAAGTATTTGAAACGAATAATCTTTTTTAAATTTACAGACCCAACCGGTGTTTTGAATGTTGGACGTATAATTTCTGGCAGTGGACTAACAGAGACGCGGGGCCAAGGCGGGTGCACGGGGTAGCCAGTGCGGGCCGCGCGCTGCAGCAGCGTGCCGCAGCAGGTCATCAAAGGCCCTCGCCGCTGTGTGGAGTCCGAGTCCGAGGCAGCCGGCCGATCGGACTGAGAATTAATTAGCTTTGCCCGGGGGCCGAGGCCGGGCCGAGGCCGGGCCGAATGCTGAGGGGTGGCGGTGGCGGCGGTGGAGGCGGTGGAGGCGGCCCCGGGGGTGGGAGTCTGGAGGCGATGCCCGAATAACGCTTCGCTGTGGAGCGGCCCAAGGCGATCGAGGAAGTAGTTTGCAGCCTTTGCGGAGAAAAACGCCCGCCTGTACGTTTTGCACTCAGGGGGCCAGAAGACCGGTGGAGGCGGTCGAAATCCCGGACGGATTTTGGGCTGTAGAGTCGCTAGACTCAACTCGAACCGAACGTGTGACCCCAGCAACTGATTGCTCTCCGAACGAGGAGTCCATTGGTGGGGTCACACGTCCTGTATAGCGACTCTGGAGCTCAAAACGCGTTCAGAATTTTGGCCGCCTCCACAGGTCTTCTGGCCCACTGTGTAAGTGGGTGCCGCGCTGTGTCCACACAGTGTGACTGTCATGCGAGTCGCCCCCAGGACGCAAGCGCGCATGTGCGCCGTGTATGAGCTTGAGGATATGGTGTCCGTGTCGGCGTGTCAGCCCGCAGCGGACTCACTCCGAGAGTCCTTCTCGTCGCTCTGTCTCTGCCGCACTCATACCGCACTGCTGCATGAGAGACAGAGCGGCGACGCAAAGGACCCTCGGAGTCAGTCTGCTGGCCCTGCTGGACGGGGCCGCTAGCCGCTGCAGCCCACCGCGGTGGTGGCCCGCGCCGGCCGTCCCGTGGCTTGTACGTACCACGTGTACTGGACAGGTTCTCCGGTGTGACCGTGACGCCCCTTTTCGTGTGCCTTGAACGGAGCCACGCCGCGACTCGAGGTGTCCGAGACGTCCTCTCGGATAAAGATCAAGCTCCGCTGTTCGCCGGGAGGCGCACAGTGGGCCAGAAGACCGGTGGAGGCGGACAAAACTCTAGACGCGTTCTGAGCTCCGGAGTCGATAAACAGGACTCGAACCGAACGTGTGACCCCACCAATGGATTGCTCTCCGAACGAGGAATCCGTTAGTGGGGTCACACGGGTCACACGTTCGGTTCGAGGCCTGTGTAACGACTCTGGAGCTCAAAACGCGTCTCGAGTTTTATCCGCCTCCACCGGTCTTCTGGCCCACTGTGAGGCTGTGAGGTGGCCGGCTTTGGTGTCGTGCTTGTGCAAGCGGCGAGCGCGGTGCACGAGAAGCACGAGGTGCACGAGGCGCTGCAGGGCGAGCGCGCGGTGAGCGTCCCCTCGGGCACCACGACGACCACGACGACCACGACGCGGCGCGTGCGGGGCAGACGTCTCCATCGACGCCCCACATGCGGATGCGACGTCCCTTTCCCCTCCCCTCCCTTCCCCTCCGTGCAACGTGCTCCGCTGCTGGGCATTGCACCTGCAACCCTGCAACTGCGACACGCCTCTGGAAATCACTGTGCTGCCGCCGCCCTGCCGCCGCCCTGCCGCCGCGCAGCCGAACGGGGGCTCGCTGTCTCTCTCGCACCCACGCGGGCGCTCCACGAGTGCGAGCGAGACAGCGACCCCGCACTCAGTGTGGTGCCGCCTGCTGCCCGACGGAATAAAGTACCGGCCTGACGTTTATATGCAAAGCGACGGCCGCCGTGGCGTGCCGTGCCGTGGTCCGCCTCGGGCTGCAGCGCTGCAGCAGGGTGCTGGCCGTACAGTAGAAATCTTATTCCGAACGCTGCCGCGTCGCTCTGTCTCCCTCGCACCCCCGCGGCACCGCGGCACGCCCTTGGGCACGCCGCACGAGTGCGAGAGAGACAGACGAGAGCGCCAGCCTGTTGCCCGTGGTGCGGTGTTCGCAGCAAAGGCCGCGCGAGAATCTGTCCCCGCGGCGGATTGAATGTTTGAATGTGTTTCCGCGCGCCGCCGCCAGGAACGGGCGCACAGTGGGCCAGCCAGAAGACCGCCGGAGGCGGCCAAAATTCTAGACGCGTTTCGAGCTCCAGAGTCGCTAAATGGGACCGGAACCGAACGTGCGATCCCACCGGGATTGCTTTTCGAACGAGGAATCCATTGGTGGGGTCACACGTTCGGTTCGAGTCCCATTTAGCGACTCCGGAGCCCAAAACGCGTCTAGAGTTTTGTCCGCCTCCACCGGGTCTTCTGGCCCACTGTGCGCCGGCGAACAGCGGAGCTTGATCTTTATCCGAGAGGACGTCTCGGACACCTCGAGTCGCGGCGTGGCTCCGTTCAAGGCACACGAAAAGGGGCGTCACGGTCACACCGGAGAACCTGTCCCGTACACGTGGTACGTACAAGCCACGGGACTGCCGGCGCGGGCGCTGGTCTTCTGGCCCACTGTGGGGAAGGAGACCAAAAGGCCGAAGGGCCGAAAGGGGCAGCGCGCCAAGGCAGTGCCTTGCGCAAACAGCCTGATTGCGACTTCAAACGGCGGCATTGGTGGATGCGGTGGCGTGCCGGCTCTCGGACACACGGAGAGACACCCACACACAGACACGGACACGCAGAGAGAGAGAGAGAGAGAGAGAGAGAGAGAGAGAGAGAGAGAGAGAGAGAGAGAGAGAGAGAGAGAGAGAGAGAGATCACTCTTAGCCCGGACGGTGCCTCG